GGTCAGGAACGTGCTGCGAAAAAATGCATCTTTCAGGGATCTCCTCTCTCGAATAGCTTTGAAAGTGCGTTTTGTATTTGTTGTGTCGATAGAAGGCGCGATTCTAGTACAGGTCTTTCATATATAGCGAGGAAGTATAATAAAATTGGATCTCCTCCGGAATTCGAGGCGCGTTATCGTGCGTTCGTGTGGGTGCGGCTACAGGCCCTCGTAAAGGCGGCGCCTGAATTCTCTCGCATCTCTCTTGCATGTGAACGTCAAGAGACCAACGGTTTTGGCGAACCGTTTTATGGATTAGCTATATACATTTCTGTAACTCTCTATAGAGTTTTATCACAAAATAGCAAGCGACTATAGCGAATTACAGTTTTTTTTTATACATATACAGTTTATGAAAATTAAAGAATGTTTCGATTTGAAAAATAAGCAATTGAGATCACTTAAGTTTACTAAATTATTTATACAAAGTACTCTACTTCTATGCTCTTTCCCTTCTTATTTATTTTCTTATTTTCCTACTACAGCTTTTTTCCATTAACTTTTTATAAATACTGCATTTTTCTAAGAAAAAGAAAAGAAAGCTTTACGAATGGACGTTTCACTTTTTTTTTACCAATATTTCTGTTGATAAGAAAAATAAAATGTCCGTTCGAACAGCTTCTTCATTTTGCAGCCATTTTTGAAAAATGGAAAATGATGGAAAAAAAACCGCAAAGTCTGTAAAATGAAATTCGACAAGAGTCGAGAGAGGGTGGACTTGAGAGGAGCAAGACGGACGGTGGGAAAAAGAAAAGAAACGGGGAGGACGGATGTATTGGTGCATCGATGGCGATTAACCGAGGAGAAGTCCCTCGGCGCGACGGAGCCGAAACTGGTTCCCATACCGGAACGTCTTGGCGGGAAACGCCGGCCAATCGTAAGCGTCGCTCTTTGCAGTTTGGAATGCCGTTCGGCGAAGATACAAACGACGCCTCTGGGAACCGTGAGACGAGGAACATTTGCATTCGCCGCGATACGCGCCGTAAATTTCTTCCCGCGTCGCGAGATACCGTGAACCGATATCCGGGAGCACGTCCGACGAGGGAGTCTCCAAATCTTCGCGAATTACCGCGACTTTTCAACATTTTCGACATTTCGCTCTCTCTCTAACTCTCTGTCTCTGTTTCTCCTGCGACTTATCAACATCTCGCCCGAGCGACGTCGACGTGAGTAATAGGAAGATAACGAGGACAATGACCAGAGCATAACGAAGTAGCAAGGGGCTCTCTTGGAAGATTTAATTAAAGGGTTCATACGGGTTCTTGTCGCGGATTAAGCGGGAAAAGCGATAAACTTCCTCCCGGTGTATCTCTTTTTTTTATTGACAACTCGTGAAAACGGTAGCGATACAGGAAACGAGAAAAGCTCAAGAATTTTGAGATTTTCGCGAAATATAACTCTATACTGCAGTTTCTCCCAAATGAATATCTTTATCGCGCGAACACCGTTGAAGTTGGTATCCCTGCGGACAATACCAGTTTCTTCCCGCGCTTTCAAGAGAAGGATAGTATCACAAAGAGACGGAGGAAGACGTTTCCTGAAAATCTCAAAACTCTTCTCCAGATCTTTATCCGTATATTTAAAAAAAAATTCTGGCTTTTAATATAATTTCACAATATAAGCATCATATAGCAAGTACTTTCTCGCAATCAATTGTTCAAATGACATAGCGATTACAAATGAAAGAGCGAATTTGAATCCGAACAAAAGTGAATCCTAAATCTTTGCAGCATTTATTTTAAATAAAAAATTCGGTCTAAAAAGGACTTATACTCGTTAAATTGCTGGCTTAAGGATAAACTTTAAAAACCAGGAACTCTTTCGCTCTTAAAGCTTTCGTACGGCACTGTAACGAGCTAAGTTAACATGAGCTATTCAATTACAAAACGTTGCAAATTTTTGTCTTGCTCTGCTCATGAATCGACTGTCTTCATTTTTTTGTCTCTCTGTTTAGTTAACTAACACGGCTTCATTGCTGGCATCTCGATCTTCTCCGATTTCCCTGATTAGCTTACAAAAGTAAACATCGTTATCGACTCTCGAGTTTTCACGATAACTTCCTGGGAAGGGCGCAACGTTCAAACATCTCGGTTATCGTAATACCAAGATAAAGTTTAAAGTTCACCTTCTCTTTAATGCGAGCGACAAAAATGGCGCTCGTAGAATCAGCTGCTTCCTCGCAGTAGGATCGAAAACGCGGACACAATACGCGGTACTGTTCGATAAAAAAAGATATCGGCCTAAAATTCGCGATAAATTATCTAAATAATGAAATCATCAATGTCCGTTAATCCGATACATATACTTTACGTTAAAAAAAAAACCACGAATTCATTTTTCTAATTTATAATCTGCTTAGTCTTTTGAAAAAGACAATTTTTATCTTTTTCTGATTCTTAGTAACTATTAATGAAACTGTTATTTAAAATCCTAAATGCCCTTAATTTTAGCGATTTATTCCCTTCGCTATTATTATTGAGACGTTAAAATTATGAAGTACTAGATAATTTTTTATGTATTTTTATTTAAAGTATATTTCCCAATTATCAACCAAGTTTACAGATAAAGAAAAAATCGAGGCAAAACCTTCTGTACAATAATTACATTTATACAGCGTAATACACTGTTAAATCTATAGTATCAAATTTAACCCTATTTAATTCGTCCTTAATGCTCCTGCTCCTACCTAATATATAGTTATTTTTAACTAAAACAATGAAATTTAACCCAAAATTGGATTAAATTTAAACCGTTTTAAATTAACTTCATTGTTTTAGTTAAAAATAACTGTTTATTAAGTAGGAGCAGTGGCGACTTAAATAAGGTTAAATTTGACACTATAGATTTAACAGTATATTCGGAGATAATTTGATGTTAATTAGCGGTAAATGTTGCAATTTATGTCACTGGTACGTATTGCAAACGATATAATCAACGCCAACTAAAAAGAAACAAATTGAGCGATGGAGACCGATGACTTCGAATTCCAGCATCTAACCATTAAGATTTTGACCGTTAGATTGTATCCATTCGAAATACTACGTCGTAGAACACGTTCTACGTTCTACGTCGAAGTAGACTTTCGGTCGTATACTTCGGTCGTATACTTCTCTTCATACCAAGATAAATAGAGGCGGTAGAGGAACGCGCGGGACCAGTTGAGGGAGTAGACGAGGGGGGTAGATGGCTGGGGCCATCAAGAAAGGCCCTTAAAGAAACCAAGCATACCAAGAAGAAATAACTTCTTCGCCTGGCAACAAAGAAAACCGGTGCTTTTCCACATTCTCTTTCTTAATCATGATATCTTGTCACGTTTCCCGCATTAGTTTACCCACAACACAGAACCGCGGAAGACACGTTAACTCCGACGCATTTATGGAAGTTTTTTTTTAACTTCCAAATGATAAATCGTCAAAAACCAGCGAACAAATTTTTTATTTTGTTATTTTCGGTCGATTTATGGTACGACATAGTAATCAATCATGTAGACATATATCTTAAACGTATACTTTCGCGAATATGTGTACATCGTTTCATTAGCTACAGGAACAAAGGGCATAGGTGTGGCATAGTTCCCAAGGAATATCGAATTCTCTCTACCCATCAGCGTTTCAAATATCCTACGTTATTTTACACCCTTCGATCCTATCGAGGATCTTTCACGTGTAATTAAATCTGCAGGACCACACAAAGGATGAAAAGTATACTTGAAGACGTTGACATCATTAAGTTGCAAATATTTAAAAGACGAGGGAGAAAATTAAGACAGTTCAAGCATTCTAATAAATAATTATTTTCTCCCCCCCCCCCTCTCTCTCTCTTTCTCTCTATTGTACATACACGAAAGTATTCTAGACGTGCTGATAATTGTAATGCTCAAAACATGAGATAAAAACAAAGTGATGAATCTCTTTGTACGTCTTCAAGATTTAGTAGTTGGTTGAAAAGAAAAAAAAATAATGAAAGTGAATTTTAACTGTTTTTTTTTTTGCCTTGAAGACATAAAAAGGGAAACTACTTTGTTTTCATCTCATGTTTTGAGAGTTACGATTATCACGTCTAGAATATTTTCGTGACACGAGCGACTCTCTTTATTTCGCAGAAAGATAATACGGAGAGGACGTGTGCGATAGCCCTAGATCGTGGGATAAAGCGGAACGTTTCCTCTTTTATAGCGGGGAAACGTAAAGACACCGGCAGGAAGCTGACAGAAGCGCGGGAGGCGTAAAGGCTTAGCGACAAGGGCGCTGTCATTTCCCGCCAGTCTCGGATTAAAAAGAGATGCTGAAAGAGAGAGAAAGGAAGACGCGAGGGGGAGAAATGCCGTAGGGAGGCGAAGGCCGAGTCTGGGTCCGACTTCGGATTTAAGTCCTCTCTGGATGGATGTATGGTGACCTACGAAAACGGCGATACCGCCGCGACGAGACCGCGTCGGAAGAGAGAAAAGGCTCTCCCGGTGGAGAGACGCGATGAATGAATCGCGAGCATGAATGGAGCCCTCGGCGGCGGTGTAACGAGCGGAAAAGCTATATATAGGGCTCAATTCTCACGCAAGTGACTGGAACTATACAGAACGCGTTCCTATACGAATTAATAAACGTGCGACTGTTCCTGATCGCGCGCTGAAGAGAAGCCGTTCTTCACTTTAAAGCGCCGGTCCGACACCGCGGCACGTTTCGAAAGCGCGAACGGCATGTATCGGACGGTGGGTGTACTCTTAAAGGACGGCCGAGGCAGCTGAGATAATAACTCGCAGGTTTACGGTAAACAATGCCGCTCGTCGCTGACACTTGTTTCGGGTGTACTCTTTCCGTTTCAAATTTCGATACTTTCTCCGCAGCATATCTTTTTTATTTTACGGTCGTTCGAGAGATCGGTCGATTCAAGAGAAAAAAGTTGCAATTAAAATTAGAATCGTGGTTTCGAACGTATCGCAAGTAAATATAGATATGGGAACTCACCCTTCGCTTCTCTGATCGTTCGCGCGATGACAAGCGCCGAAGGTACCTGAAACCAAAGACAGGAAGACGTTAGACACAGATCGTGTTCCGCAGCAGCACCGCTGCCTGCCGTCGAAGCTTAACAGGAAGACCGCGGTCTCTCGAGCGGAAGAGAGAGATCACAACAAATATACCCATATAAAAATCACGTCTCGCGCGCTGCCCGAAATATCGGCGGATATTCGCACGCGCACAAAAGACTGGACCGGTAACCGTGATTATATCCGCGCGGGAACACGTGTTCTCTTTTCACAGGACCGCACATGGAGCCTGTGCGTGCGTGCGTGTGCGCGTGTGCGTGTGTGTGCGGCTCATTTCCCCATTCTCGCGAAATCTCCTGACCGCATGCAAGATGCGAACTAGACGACGCGCGGATGCTCCGGTCATCTTGAAGGCGCCGAGCCCCGGCGCGCTGTGAAATCACGCGCGATCTCGCGGTCGCGCGTTCGTTTATTTGCTCGGGCTTTCGTTCCGCGATAACAATCGGTCCCGCCGCCAAATGTATTGCAACAGACGGCGCCGCGAAACGGAGAGTTAATAATCAGAAATTATCGCGCTGCCCCGCGGCATTGTCATCGTAGAGAGCTATCGTATGTATATAGGAACCGCTACCACCATCTGCAGCTCGCCATTCATCTTCGTCCCGAATCGCAATCTCAGCGGAGTTCTCTCACCGTTCGGTCGATCCCCGCGTGACAAGTGCACCCTGCAGGTATCTCGAAATCCGAGAAACGTGTAGGCATAGGTCGCACGTGCGTGCCATGTGGGACACGCGTGAGACGAGAAAAATCGTGCCCTACGGGCATTGCATCTGTATAAGATGATTTTCATCCCGTCTCATTCCTATTATTATAGGTGACAATCGCGATATACCGACAAAGTGTTCGCAATTCGAGAAAGAGAACGAGCTTTCGTACGCGGAAAAAGCAATTTTGCTGAATCCAGAAAGTAATTTTTGTTCAATAATCAAAAAATAATTTTGTGCGAAAGTCAAAATGATTGCTAGAATAGCAAAACGTTTTATAGCAATACTAGTTTTAACATTCCAACAAATTATTTTGACGATTCAACAAAAAATTACCTTCAGATCTGTTTTTAGCAAAATTTTTAGACCCTTCAACAAAATCGTTCTTTCCGTGTACATATTTCTACTTTATAATCTACTAAGAATTCTGATTTATCGAGCACGACGAACGTAACAAATCTCCACGAAATATTTTGTAACACGCGGATTCGTTAGTTCGCATTGACTCGCGCTGCTTTCGCTCGCCACGCGAACGAGTATACAAAGAGTCATCCCTATCTCCCACATAATGTAGACCAGTCTGCAGTTAGGCCGGAAGAGTACGAGACGAGTGTGGAGGGACCGGTCGTTTAATCGTTTCATGTCGCACCAATGAGAAGACGAGGGGTACGATGCGCCGTGCATCCTCAGCGCCGAAAACGTTAGCGCGCGGCATGTGCGTCTCGTATATCTTCTGTTTTTTTTTATCACTCTGGTTACAGTTGCGAGAAGTATTTTAATAAGCCGTGCAATTGTAGACCGCCTAAATGTTTCAATTATTTTTCTCGTTCAATTATAATTGCTCTTCTCGAGTTGTGACGATGCGACATAATATACACATGATAAATTATTATACATTTACTTTATATTACCCAACATCTTTTTCACGCTGTATACTATTTGCTGCCGAGTAATCTTATCCTGAATAAGATTCTTAACGCGCTACATCTCCCGCTAGGAATTTGCTCCCAAATTTAAACTGAATCCTGCCAAGCAGGGGAGATGTTCGACAAAAGACACAGATTTCGCGCGCGCTCTCAGAGCTTTTCTTTCTCCGGTTCTTCTCGGGAATAAACCGCTCGGTCGACGCTTTACCGCCTGACCGAGCGTTTATTTATTTATTTATTTCGGGGATAAATGAGGTGCATCTTTCAAAAACCGTCACGGCCGAGATCAGATTGAACGTAATTGAATCATGTATAACGGATTGGATTGAAAAGGAAAAGGCATTTGCTAAGAAATCGAATGCGAAAGGAACGCGCGCGACTGAGCGAAACTTTAAGGCAAGATCTCTGGCCGGCTGACAGATGAGAGCAGAACTGCAGGGAAAAGAGACGATATTGAGCCGTTTCTCGTGTACGTACGCCCTAACGCCCTTCCGCAGGAAGTCGGACGCATCAGCCGTGACACGCACCCTCGCGCTACTTATAATATTCGCGTCGAAACGTACATAGGATGGATTCACGACGCGAATTTCCAGGCGAGTGTATAGCGTATAGCGTCTGAAACGGAGAACCTTGGCCTCCGTCTAAAGGTCAACGTATCGTTGATCTCAACGTTCCTTCTCGGTCCGCTTCCCTCGCATTGATATTCGTACCCCACTGCCCTTACCACTACCTGAGCGGGCAGCGGCGAATTTCCTTAGCATCGCTAAGTATTTCGCAGCCTACACCTTATAGATCTCGTGCGAGTTGTCATATGAGATTAATCAACAGTTTCCCCCGAACAGATGGCGGATGGCTTGTTTAGTATACGAAGACCTACATACATTGCCGTTAAGTGTGAAAGACCTATAGCGGATTAAATTTACGACATACAGGGGAACTTTATGGAGTAATTAGATTCAACTTGGCCCTACTTTCTCTGAATTCTAATTCGATGGGGGCTGACGGGCTAAGGCGTTTATTTCTGTCTTAGAATAAGTCCTATAAGAACAGGTCGTAAAGAGAAGGGATTAAAATTAAACAGTAATAAAATAGTATTTTATATTCTTAGTCGCATTTAGCTAATAATTAAAAACTTATAACGACTGTAATATTTATATTATTTGTACCATGTATTTTTGTTTTACAAATATATATAATTTGTTTTAATCCCCCCCCCCTTCCTCGTCTTCAGTAAACGTATAGACGATAGTGACTTTTAATTATCGCAAATATGAACGATATTAGCAACGCGCAATACAGAATATTGCGGAACGCAACGATCCAGCCGCGTTTGTCGACAGAATGCTGCTGTTACGAATGCAACGGAAAGAACGATTTTGTTGAAAGGTTTAAAAAGTTTGCTAAAAACAGATCTGAAAGTAATTTTTGTTGAATCATCAAAATAATTTGTTGGAATGTTAAAACTGATAAGTATTGCTATAAAAAATGTTTTGATATTTTAGCAATCATTTTAACTTTCGCACAAAATAATTTTGATTATATTGAACAAAAATTATTTTCAGATCTGAAAAATTCAGCAAAATTGTTCTTTCCGTGTGTGATAATAACTGTCGATGCAAGCACGGCTTAGTTATATATCTTAACATAAAGTCGACTGCGCGAGCGACCACATCGATCTCCCCCACTAATTAACGCGACATTCCCCCGGCGAGCAACAGGCAGCGGTTGCGCGGCTGCGTAACATGTGCAAGTACGCTTCAACGGTCGTGACTCCACTACGAGAGCGAAGCCACAGAGGAGCAATGCGTGCATGGCAAGCAGAACCAAATCATAATACTAATACCGCGCGAGAGGAAGAGAGGACGAGAGAGCGAGCGTGCGAGACAGACGTATCGGGAGCACTTCTAATTTTAGATAAACGCCTCACGACATCCGTTTCCTATATACACGCGCGCAAACACCAGAGGAACACGTATACCCGCCAGCCGTTTCCCGCCGACGTGGGGCCCTCATACGAGATTAGGGATATGGAAGCACCGCGACATGCGGTTAAAAATAAAGCACGGCCTGTGTCTCGCCGCATTCCCGCCGAGAGAGAGAGAGAGAGAGAGAGAGAGAGAGAAATGCATATCCATTTCGGGACGAATTTCGTTAGCCCGTCCTCGAGATTCTGCGTCTAATTCAGCTCTGAACATAGCCGACACACGTGACGACGTGATCCTTCATCAGAGGAAAACGAAGCGAGCGACCATCAGACACGCAATAGTGAATAGATTGATAATATCCTTGTACCCTCCACCGCAAATAATTCTAAACTTGTTCCCGTGAGCGTTAGTTACAACTGGCTGAACCTTTCCCCGTCTCTTTACAGCTCTGCCTCCAAAAGCAAACGAATAATCAGTTAAACCTCAGTTAACACGTTAACTGCCACGGCGGTTAGCCAACCAACGTTGATAAGATATATAACATTGACCTAATTCTCGAAAGAGCCTCGGTCCAAATGACTGAGTTTAGGCTTCCAGTTGCATTTAAATCTTAGCTTAAACGCATTTGCGATAATTGTCTGATCAGCAGATAATATTTAATTTATCGTAATCAAATGTTCAAGAAAAGATATTTTAATAAATAACTCTTACAAGAAATTAAATTTTAAATAATTTTAAGATGAACTTTTTTATTATTAAGTATTTATTTCGGAAGGAAAAGATATTTATTAAGATATCTTTTAAAATATAAGTAAAGTAATTTAAAAAATTTTAAAATATAAATAAAGTAAGTTATAAAAAAAAGTTTATCTTAAAATTATTTAAAATTAAATTTCTTGTAAGAGTTATTTATTAAAATATCTTTTCAGTAAATATCTTTACATGCATGATTCTAATCGAGTCGTTTGTCAAACGATAATTTTATGAAGAATAAAATAATAAAATAACTATATTACAAGAAATATTAAATTTCAAATAATTTTAAGATAAACTTTTTTATCATTAAATATTTATTTCGAAAGGAAAAGATACTTTAATAAATATCTTTTCCTTCCGAAATAAATACTTAATAAAATAAAAAAGTTGATCTTAAAATGATTTAAAATTTAATTTCTTGTAATATAGTTATTTTATTATTTAATTCTCCATAAAATTATCTATCGTTTGATAAACGACTCGATTAGAATCATGCAGCGCAAAACGGTCGAAACGTTACATTGTCATTAACCTGCGACAAACGCCGTGCACTCGCTCGTAAACGTACCCGCACGTGGCATCCACGAGCCAGTTGAACGATAACCTATCGACCCTCCCAATGTAGAATCTCGCTATTGGTGAAACTAAGGGGGAC